GTGCCTGAATTTTTTTAGTCGCCTGATCAACGGACGTATACACTGAAAAAATTTTGCACTGAACTATAGTGATAAACTGTGGTTTTGTATTGATAACATATTGTTATTTAAAAACAATTAATCTCATCGTTTTATCATAAAGGAAACAAATACTCGTTTTTTGATATCTATTATAGTTTTTTAGTTATTATGATCTCAAAATTTTGTGCCCTTTAAGGCTATACTTATTTTTTCGCTATTCATAGCAGGATATCATTGCACATACTAGAAGCATGAAAATCGCATTTCTCGCTTTGTGGAACGGCTGCAAATTTCTTTTTTCGTGCTGCTAAAATCATATGTGTTAACATAAATACACTCGGCAACAAAATTATCGCAACAAAAAAATTCATCGAAATTTCGTCGATTTTCAAATGCTTCTATCTTGGGCTAGATTTATCGTATCGACACGCTTTTTTTTTAATTTCTTGGAAATTTTGTCCTCTTTAAATCCATATAAATTAAGATAAGATTCAAGTTAATGTTGAGTTACCAGTAGTATTTGAGCGCGACACAAAAAATTACTGAAAAAAAGTGACTGTTCGAACGTGTACCAGTACCACAGTAATTTTTCTATCGAAATCTAACATACACCATCGCAAAGTGCTCTTTTCAATGAGTAATTTAAAAAAAAGGACCTTTCTACGATTTTTTTAACGGCCTGTAGGTCGATTTGAAGGTATAGTTTGTGTACGCAAAAAGCCCAGAAAATTGTCTTGATTTTAGCTAAACGGGGGATTTTACGTACCTTAAATGGTATCTTCAAAACGACCTACAGGGCGTTAAAAAAATCGTAGAGAGGTCCTTTTTTTTTAAATTACTCGTTGAAAAGAGCACTTTGCGATGGTGTGTGTTAAATTTCCATAGAAAAATTACTGTGGTACTGGTACACGTTCAAACAGTTAATTTTTTTTAGTAATTTTTAGTGTCGCGCTCAAATACTACTGGTAACTCAACATTAACTCGAATCTTATCTTAATTTATATGAATTTAAAGAGGACAAAATTTCCAAGAAATTAAAAAAAAAGCGTGTCGATACGATAAATCTAGCTCAAGATAGAAGCATTTGAAAATCGATGAAATTTCGATGAATTTTTTTGTTGCCATAATTTTGTTGCCGAGTGTATGTATGACGTCATAATTGACAAACCCCCCGCCCTCCCGTCATCAAGTGTCATGATTGAAGAATCTCTCCCCCTCTCCAGGTGATGACGTCATTTGTGGATGTCCCGTAAACACGGATCGACTGGTCGCATATATGTATGTTTTGTCCCGTTCCCGCCCACATTACAATGCACACTAGCGACCGCTTTTAACCTTCATAGACGCTTTCTAATCGTCTTGCTTTCGGCCATGTGTTTTTTTTTAACTTTCCAACTGTAGACCGTAGTGTACGCGCGATAGTCCAGTACACGTTACGACGCCGCAGCGTACAGAAAGATCGCAGCGAGTGAAAAAAAAAATAAGTATCATAAATTATCGTGAGTGATTGTGTGTCGTGTATGTAAGTGCGCAAAATGGATCGATTAGAAACATTGAAGGGATTGCGAGAAAGATTCAATTTGCAGATCGAAGACGAGCGGAATGAATTTATCCGTCAACTTCATCCTCTTGTCCGTGATTGGTTTGCTGCAGTACCAAATCATCGAGACATCTTTCGCGAGGGAGACATCGAGAGTCTTCTAAACGTCATCAATACGGGCGAAATTATTCTGCTGAACAATTGGCAAAACTGTGAATTGATCAGCTTCTTGGCTCGCACCGGCTACAAGGACGAGCCCAAAGTCGGCGAAGACGGCAAGCCGCTATTGCGTCGTACCACACCGGTGCATCGAGCGGCTCGACGCGTGCACAGCCTCTCCTACTGGGCTATCCGCAACCTATTCCAGATTTTTAACAAATTCGACGCGAATTACGTCGACGAGGATGGTATGACTCATTTTCACATAGCCTGCCGGTACGGCTGCGACAACGTCGTCGAGAAATTTCTCGATCTCGGCCGGGTACATCCCAATACGTGTCCCGTGCCAACAAATGGCAACTCGCCGCTGCATTTGGCTCTGGAACAGGTTGGCCGTTTCGGAGTGGTTGGATTGCTGCTGAGCAGAGGCGCGGATCCGAACTCGACCAATCTCGAGGGATCGACGCCTCTGCACTTCGTAATCCAGAATCGCATCGAAGACTCACTGAAGCCATTCTTTCGGATTGTTGACGAATTGAATCTGTCGGTGCACATTGACGCCCGGGATAAGCTGGGTCGGACGCCGCTGCACTTGGCTATGCGCCTTGGAAGAAAGAAGAAAATCGAATCGTTGCTGAGAAGAGGGGCCAATCCTAATTTGGCAGACTCGTGTGGATACACTCCTCTGCACGTAGTTTGCGTGGGGAGCATCGATCATATTGGCTTAATTAAGCTATTCTTCGAGGTCAACAACGAGTTGAATCAGTCGGTGGAGGTCGACGCCCGGAACAGGTCGGGTCGGACACCACTGTACTACGCTGTGGTAAAAATGCTTCCGCATATTGTAGATGAACTCTTGGATCGTGGCGCTGATCTGTCTGGCTTCGTCTTTCCCACCGAGGAGGACTTTGACCAGTTCCATGAAATTGGGAACGAGCACGACCATCACTACAAGTATAATCTGGTGTCCGGAGCGCTGGCAGTTGTCGATATCCTAGAGAGAAGGGGACGCGAGTTGTACCGAAGCGAAGCGCTGATCGTCATGAAATTTTTCGCTAAGCGAGGATTATTCGAGAACTCCGGACATCTCGAACCCAATTGGTACGAGGACGAGGAGTTCGCGAGCGAAGCGAAAGAGGTGACGGTGAAAGCGGACTTGTCGCTCTACGATCTGATGCGGTTGCGATCCCGAGAGATAGAGAAGCTGTGCACAAACACCGACTACTTCGAATTCTTCGCGCGATCAGGGAAGGGCATGCAAGGGTGGAGACAATTACCCGCAGGATCGCAAGAGGCTTGCGCTATGCATCTGTGCGAAAAAATGTCCAGGAGATTTTTCCGGGACTGGGCACTCGAGCCATTCTTGGCGCTGATTCATTACCGACTGCCGATTCTCTGCTGCGAAATGATCATCGATAATTTGACGAACCAAGACTTGTGCAATATTTGTTTGGTCTTCGGTCAAAACTCGTGATCGTATGTTCGTAAAGGGCCGTCATTGCTTCATTGGTAACCCTGTAACAGCTATTCCAACTCTTCGCTACAATGAATGTTAAAATCGAAATAAATAAATAAATAAAAAGTAAAAAACAATTGTTGCTTTTAATTGAATAATTAAATGATTCCCAACGTTGGTTTTTTTTTTTGACAGAAAATATGGTTTTTACCGATTACGTCTTTATCAAAATCTTTCGCTCGGCTCATCTTAGCTCTGAACAAGACTCGAAAAAAAATTTTGGGCTGATCCTTGGATGAGCCGAAAACAGTGAAAAAAAAGTCATGATAGTTGATATCAAGATAAACTCAATTCTCTTGGCACATTTTCAATTGAAATTATATTAAAACATGTACTTGAACATTCATGTATATTTTCAATATACTTGGGTCAGATTCAGAATTTTTTAAATGAACCTGCGGACGCGGTCCACAGATTTTCCTGAAATTTATCGGAAAATCTGATTGAAACGCAAGAAAACTTAAAAATTGTTCGATCGAAACGACAAAATTTAGATGACTCAACATGGTTTTGATTGAAATTTTTTAAAGTTTTCTTGCGTTTCAGTCAGCTTTTCTGATACATAACATTTTCATGAAAAAAAATCTAAAATGAACCTTTGAGTTCACTCTGGCCGTACCGAGTTTTTTGAAATATTTAGCTCTGCTTGTTTGATGGCAATTTTCTCGGTAAAAATTTCATGTTTCGAAAAATCGAATGATGCCATCGGAAATCTGAGGAAATTTCCAATTGAACATAGTCAGTTACTTTTTTAGATGAGTTTTGATACTTTTTCAACGACTTAGAAATCGAGTAATTAGCTGTATTTACGTGAAAATACAACTTTTTGTCCTGTAAATTACAAAAGTAGCTAAATAAGAATATGTATCTTCAAATTTCACGTTCACGCATTTTTTCCTCATGGCAGGACCTTCAGGAACAATTTCCCGGAGACCAGGCCTATGGGAGAGCTAAAAAAATTGCACTTTTTTTTTTGGTGAAATTGCTTTTTATTTTTAGATTTGGCCATATTTGTACCTCGTGAAGAATTTTTTTTGATTTTTTAAAACTCACCGTTCCAATTATTTTCAAAAGGTATCATTGATACAAGTGGAAAAATGTGCGACAGTGGTCAATGAACTCAAAAATTATCAAGATCCTGAGTACTCAAATTTTTCTGCCTCTACTCAAAAAATTGGATACTTTCACGAGCTGATGGTATAATGAAAAATGAAACCAACATCGAAGCCGAAATTTTTCGAAAAAATCTAAAAACAATGTTCCAATCGTTTCGTTTTCTCATCGTTCCAACATATTTCTAAGAAATCTATTCGAGAAAACCCACTCGATACAATTGAAAAAATCAATTTTACGATTTTATTTTTAAAGGTAGTGACAACAAAATCAAAAACTCGAAAATAAGGGATTCTAATAGAAAAATATATTTTTTGTTCGCTGTGTACAGCATTGAAGTTACGCTGAAGGTCTGATCCAAGGTCACCAATGAACTACCTGCGACATTTCCAGAGTTTTCCATATTAAATCCCCACCTTGTACACAGCACGCGCGTTTATTTATAAATTATTGTAAATTAATACACTAATAACTCAAATTACGAAAAGAAATGGGAATCGAAAAATTCGAATCGACCGCGCGAACGAGAGTGTGTGTCAATGAACGAGTACCACTGCTGCTCGAATTAGTAAATTTTAAATGTTATGATCTTTGCATGCCTCATGCGTTACCGACAATAACACAGCTGATCGGCTTTACGTCCTGTCGTCTTGTAATAATTGTAATAATAATACAGCTCCCATCGGCGACGTTGGCAAAGACCCGTAAATATAATCTCACGCTCTCGAGCAACGCGCGCGCGTGTGTTTGTGTCGCGAGCCGCTCTCGCCAGTGTGAATTGGATTTTTTCAACCCGTGTGTGTGTGTGCTTCGTGTTATCGTCGTTCTTGTCGTCTATACCGCGCAAAAGAAAAAAATGATGCAGAATCCGCGCGATTACATTAACCCAGAAGTAGCAGAAGAAGCCTGTAGCAGGATGCGTCACATGAGCTTGAAGGATAGCGAGGAGTACGTCAGAAGCTTGTACCTAGAGGTAACCATCCGATGTTTTACATGATCTCGAGTGCGTGAAACTAATCATTTTTTCGCTGCCCCGAAGATGACCGCCGCCGACTTTACGAGAGTCTGGACGGGTACGGCCAAATGCTCGCTTCAGAGGCCGGAAAATTTGCGAGTCAGCGGCGCAGCGATCGATCGAGTCACTTACGAGATCTGGTATCCCACGATCGACATGCACGACATGCCGTGAGTCTTTTTTTGTTTATACTCGTTCGAGTTTGCAATCGCAGCCGCGATTTGATCGATTTTTCATCGTCGATTCAGACATTTCAAGCTCGATTGGCCGGAACAGATGAATCTGGTCATGGTGCCGAGGTACATAGTGGAATCGAGCGACGCCGCCCAGTACCTGACCCCGTCGAGATTTTTCCAGTTCAAAAAGGTGTCGTCGCCGGTAGACACGGGAATGCTCCTGAAAACGATGGCCTCGGGCTCGGTACGCAATCGGTCGACCGTTGAAATTGTTCTCCGCGGAGCAGCAGCAGCAGCAGCAGCTGCGATCGATCTCATTCGAATTTTTTTTTTGCGCCCAGGTCGTCGCTTGCATGATGTCGCCGGATCCGTACGATACCACTCAGGACGTGATCTACTTGTGGTACGACAACATTCTGCCGAACACGATGTTTGGAATCATCGCTCACCACCCCACGAATTTCCTGCTCCGATTGTATCAGGCCATCGACCACGAGCTCGGCTTCTACCAGGAGTTCCGACACTTCGTGTCGCTGACGGCTTTGACGAGCGTAAGAACGAACAATCATAAAGTATAAACAGCGAAAGCAAAACGTTGATTCGCGTAACGTTTGTTCGCGCAGACGCGGGAACGACTCGACCCGAACGCCCTTCCCGACGATCTCTGGAAAGAGAGACTGCGACCGTCCTTCTGGCAGGGCACCCTCGAATCCAAAGACTTCAGCGTGCCCGTAGAATGGATGGGCGGAAAGGAGGAATGGATGTGCATAGAGCTTCCCTGCGAGTTGACGGAGCTAGAGATGGACGAGCTCGAGTACATAAAGTGCGTACGCGGCATCTTTTCGTATTATATACACTGGGCAATGTGTTACATAATGTGTTTGCACGATCGTGTGTTTGCAGGATCATGCAGATACCGCAGGGCATGAAGAGGATGAGCCTGCGAGTGGCGCCGCACGACCAGCTCGTGAACGCGGTCGTTCGCGAATCGACCATAGTCAATGCCAGATGGTTCATCTTGAATCTGGACCCAAGGGCCAGGGGCGTAAAGTTGCTGAAAAACAAGATCGCGAACAATTTTGTAATGCATTCGTCATTGCGCGGCTTCGACTCGGTTGTTTCCCTTCGTTCATTTAATTTCTTTTTTTTTAATTTCTTTTTTCTCAAGGTCGCATACATAGCTCTCGAAGAGTGCCAAACGCAAATCGAAAGAATCATGATCGTGACCTACAATAGACGGTGGAAGAAATTCATCGGAATGGTACCGAATCATCACGCGGACTTGGCTCCGTGCAGGCCGAAAATCATTACGGGACTGGAAAATATGTGGCAGGGCACCTTCGAACTGTTGTGGAACGTCGACGGACAGGCGAAGCTCTGCATGCAATTTGTCTTGAATCAAGATTTGGTGCACACCAGACCATTATTGACGTAATTTTCACTCATGCTCGGAGAGAGAATTTTTTGATTTTTGCGAGGGTTGATTTATTTATTTATTTATTTATCTATTTTTTTGCTTTGATCGCAGATTATTGGAGGGATGCCCGCGAGTTTTTCGTGCTTTCTTAATCAGTAGAGAGTTCATGCAGGATAACTTGAAGAGTCATGCATTAAAAAACAGTCAGAAGTTTTATTTCGGTACCCGAGAAAATCAAGACAGAGTGGCCCACTTAAGAAAATTAATGAAAGAATTCGTGAGTTTGTTTTTCTTTTTTCGACTTGATTTATTTGTCAAAAGTACATGTTCATTGCAGGTGATCATTGCTATTTTTCGGAGAAATAATATCTTAGAAGTATTGCTTTTTGAGCAAAAATCCGGAGACGGAATTTTTATTGGAACTCTACCTCGAGACTCAAATAAGTATGCCACTCTCCTGACAATCACTACTAACAAGTCCCCAAAAACCGTAAATACCATTGAATCATACATTTTTATAAAAAACTCACCCACCGAATTGAAGGACTAATAGAATAATCTTTTGTTTACGTTTTATGTACAGATATGCCCGGAAGAGTTGGTGAAAATCAACTCGTCACCGCTTCATGCGCCGAACTTTAATATTGAATCATCCAAGGAGTCATTCCACAGGACCTTCCTAAAGGCGCTTGACGGAAAAGAAGCTTCGGAATCTAGATATGTTCACCTCGTGAAAACATATTTATGTCGATGAATTCTCGATATCATAGTTTAATTTTAACCGCTAGTAAAATTTTAGCTGCGATCGACGCAATATTTCATTGTTTGAAAATAAACGTTTCAACAACTAGTTTACAACAAATTAATTTTCACGAGATAATGACCAGGGGCTGTTTTATCCTAACATATAACCAAAATTTAATTGTACAATAATTTTAATTAATACTCTTCTCAAATTAATGATTGTACACAATGAATTCTTGTTCGTGGACTCGTCTCAAGAATTCATTAAATTTCATTTAAATTTTAAAAAGAGTATTTTAATTATATAAATAAAAGTTTCAGAGTAATCAAGTCAATGGATGGAGTGACTACCAGTAGATAAAAAATTAATTATTGGCATGGTTATCTTATTTTATATATTTATTTGATATAGTTATGATCATTGAGCATTGCAAAATAGTTGCTATGATAATCATTAACAATGAACGTCCAATGAAAGCACATCCATTCTATTGGTTTGATTATTCGATTCAAAATAAAAAAATTACTTTTTCCACAAGCAACTAGGCTCGAAAGCAATCTGTCACACCAACAAAAATCCACCGCACGTGCGCGGCGCCGACGATATATTCAATTTCAACGGTGAAAGGAGTTTTGTAACGATATTTAAATAGTTTCAGCATAACCAAACCAATAGACAATGATGTTATTTTAATAATTATCTAATGATTGTTTCTATTTTGTTTACTCAAAATACATTTACTACTGTTATTAAAAAATATTGCTAAGATCACCGAATATTATTTTTGTTAAAAATTCGTTTTATTTTCAACAAATAGATGCAACACGTACGTAAAAAATTCTAGGAAAATTGTTTTCAACCTATATATTTTTATTATATAGTTTAAAGTTTTACTGATTAAATTTATGTATTTTTAATCATGGCCAAGCTGCAGCAATGAGAGCAAAACTTTGGCGGTGATATGACGCTTAGAATAGAATAGAATAGAAGAAATTGAACACTTTTCGAGCCTTTTTTTTTCTCGAAAATTCGAGTTTTTTCGAGTGCACGAATTATTTTAGTCGTCTGGTCAAGAGAAATGCATGATTGACCTAGTGTAATTTGGTACAACGATTAGAAAGTGAAATTCTATCGAACAGGCGTGGCCTATACTTCGCCATGTGCTATGCCGGATCGACACCGGTTCCCGACACTTTTTTGAGGTTCTGAACCCGGCTTTCTTTTCGTAAAGACTTGAACTTTAAGAATCGCCATGACGTTTACGCGATTTTGAACATTTTTGCAAAAGCGCGATTCAAAATTTTTAATTTTGACATTTTCTTTTTTTTTCGATTTTACGTTTTTTTGACGATTGATTATTACAAGTAGGTAATAAAATAACAAATACAAATTGAAAAATTTATTTTTTTATAACATTTTTTTTATTATTTCATGAACAATATTTAGACATTTTTATGACGATGTCACCCTTACTTTATTATTGACAGCTGCGCGCTGTGCACTGCGCATTACGTATAACACGACGCATGCAGCTACCTCCACACTCACTGTAGAAAAACTTGCCGCGCAAGCAAGCCTCCTTTCGGCCATGTGTTTTTTTACTCTCAAATATAGACTGTAGCACGCGTCGAGTCAGTACATATCGTGACGTTGCAGTGTAAGCAGCAGAGGAAGTTCGTCCATCGGCTGCAGCAAGTAACTAAATATATTTTATATTTCAAGTGACTGTAAATCGTGTGTGAGTGTAAAAAATGATGGCCAAGCCCCTGGACGGTTATTCCCTGGTGGAAAAATTTAAGGTCCTACCACTCAAAGCACTTGAGAGCTATATCTTGGATTCCACTCATCACTTGGAAAAAAACTGGTGTGATGTTAAGTATTTATTATTTAAGATGCCTTGGATGGGCTACAAAGACGAGCCCGACTTCGACGAAGAAGGCAAGCCAATTTTACGTCGCACTACACCACTACATCTCTTGGCTAGAGGCGCATTACCCCTAGCCAAATTCAGGGATATCTCCGTTCGTGAACTTTTCGACATATACAGGTTTGACTTGAATTACATCGACGAGTTTGGATTGACGCATTTCCACGTGGCCTGTCGATATGGCTACGAAGAAGTCGCCCGAAGATTTCTCGATCTCGGAGTGGATCCGAATCTCCCCGCGGGAGAAATAGACGATACGCCGCTACTATTGGCTTTGGACTGGCGCCATAAAAAGGTGGCTGAACTGCTGCTGAGAAGAGGCGCCCATTGGAATCTGCCGAACAAGAATGGGTTGACACCTCTGCACGTCACTTGTCAGACAAACGACGGTGGCAATTTTATGGAATTTTTTTTCAACATCAACGATCATTTACATCATCAGGTGCAGGTGAACTCCTCAGACAAGTTTGGTGATACACCATTGCACTTTGCTATGTTCTATGGAAATAAGAAGAAAGTCGAATTGTTGCTGAGAAGAGGCGCCGACTCAAATTTGAGAAATGCAGAAGGATCGACTCCTTTACACATTGTTTGCTATAGGCGGTACAATCACGACTCGGCGAAGTCGTTCTTTAAGATCAACAAAGAACTCAATCGGCCGGTGCTGATCAACGCTGCGGACAATCATGGACGGACACCGTTGCAATTAGCTGTAGCGAATATCGCACCGGTTACTGTGCATGTTCTGTTGAATAATGGCGCTGATGTGTCGAGCTTTGTTTTTCCCGATGACAGTTACTTCGGCAAGGAAGTTAAACAGCCGGAGAATGGATGTGAGGCTGACTTTCAATTGAAACTAGTTGAGGGTACTCTGTTCATCATCGAACGTCTTAAGACAAGTGGATACGAGCTGAGCCGAAGCGACGCCTCGAAGATCATGAAGCTCTTTGACAAACCCGGATTGAACGATCCCTCGTTATAAGCATATGAATTCACAAATTAACTATCGAGGCAATTTTTCTAAAAAACTCGCAAATGCAATAAGCATATTTGCAGTATGTTTCAATGTTTTCTATTCATGATTTTTGCATAGTTTTAATGTCATTTAAATAAATACATCTTAAAAATTAATTTCGACTTTTTATTGCACACCACACGATCGTTTGATTTAACCTACCTCAAAATGTATATGGGTCAAAATAATACTTTTTTACAAAACCGTGCGCACGTATGTCACCGATCTTGACGTGCTTTTGTTATGTTATAGTACATGGTAAAAAGGTCACAAAAAAAATTTTTTAGACCCCCTCCCCCCTCCTACCCCCGGTAGCATCAAAATAGTTCATATCTTAATTTGTCTTCAGTAACGTCTTCAGAATTTTGCGTTAATCTTTGTCCTGCTCTAGATTGAGCTAGGAGGCTTCAATCGGAATTCTGAAACAGTCAAAATTTATTGAAATTTGTCAAGGATTTCAAAAAAAAAATTTTCAAATTTTTTCACCGGAACCATCGGGTTCTAGGAACCTTTTTTTGTTAAAAATAGCATTTTTCGGCCCTAGAAACTATCGCCTTCGATTAAAAAATCTGAAAAAATTTGAGGTTATGTATTTTGATGAAAAAAACAAGAAAAAATTTTTTCCAGATTTTTCAAGGCTCCGTACCGTCTTAAAAAAATTATTTTCGTCAAAAAAAGCGGTTTTTGGCTTTAAAAGGTGCGTTAGGTCATCTGAAAAAATCTGAAAAAAATTGAGGTTATGTTTTTCAATGCAATAAAAAACCGAAAAAATTTCCGTTTACTATATCGGCTCATATCGCCGTATCTCGATTTTCAAAATTTTCAATGATTTTTTTCTGAAGGCCTGAAGCACTTAAAAAATCTGAAAAAATTCAAGGTTGTTTGGATTGTTGAAAAGTATTTTTGTGAATTTTTTCAGATTTTTTACTTTCTTCATGTCCTCAGAAAAAATATAGATCGAAAATGGACGTTTATACCAGAAGTGGGGGGTAGGAGGAGGTAGGGGGTCTAAAAAATTTTTTTTGGGACCTTTTTACCATGTACTACAGGCAAACCCCGTTATTCGCGGGGGTTCGGTTCCAAAAATGTACCGCGAATACTGAATCCGCGAATACCGAAGCATTGTTCTTATGGGAAAAGGGGGGTTCGGTTCCTCGTCCGACTGAAATGTCAATATACATATTAGTAAAAAAATTTTTTATGAGAAAAAATTTAAGTTTTGATTAATATTTTTTTATTTTGTAGTAAAATATTGAGTCAAACTTTTTTGTTTTGCTCTGTGCAATAGATCTTTGTAAAAGTTTTTATAATACTCTAATGATTTTTCGATATCTTGTCTAAATTGAAGGCTTCAAATCATGATTGGGTCGTAATTTAATACTCGTTCAATGAGACGCTCTGCATCAGCCAAAATATTTCCAACTACTTTCGCAGTAAGAACAGGCTCGGGTTCTTGATCTGCAATCATTTCTTCTTCAGCTGCTGTATTTTGCACGATTGCATCAATTTCGTCGATCGATCGATGATCGATTTTATTGTAGATTCATTGACGTTAAATCTTCGCGCTAGAAAAGCCACTTTTTCGCCCTCCGTCAGAGCATCTAAAATTTTGATTTTTTCCACCAAATCCAGCACTTTTTTATTCCTCTTCGAAGGGCAATTCATAATTAAAAAAAAGTTTTTTAAATTTTTTTGAAAATTTATGCGCGAAAAAAAGGTTAACTCTGATCGAAGAAACCGTGAATACGGAAACAAAATACCGCGAATACTGAAGTGAGGTCACAAACAGGGTTACCACGAATATGGAAAATTGCGAATACCGAATCCGCGAATAACGGGGTTTGCCTGTATAACATACCAAAAGCGCGTCAAGATCGGTGACATACGTGCGCACGGTTTTGTAAAAAAGTATTATTTTGACCCATATTCATTTACAGCGGCTGCTTAAAGAAATAACAATTTTCAACGCGATGTGTTCCCACCAACATAGTATCCCTTACAATCGCTCACGTTTTAAAGAATTCAAGAAAAACAGTTCATTACTGTTGTTGAGGTATCGATTTTATATTAAACTTTCAACGCGAGTAACATTTTAGTAGTAATCGACACGTTTTCTCATTGTTTTACTATTTTCGAAAAAAAAAATTCCTGACCACCGCATAACTCGTAAAATGTCCGCGTACAAAAACCAATATTACAACCGGCTGATCCTTCCGGGGAAAACGCAGATATATATCTATATTAACGTGTATGTGTGTGCGTACTGTCGTTCGACTCTTTCTCAGCCTCCCGCTACTATCGCTAAAAGCTATTTCACATCGCGAGAGGACGGATATCTTATATACCGGGAGAGAGGAAAAAAGTTCACATCTTTGCCCTCTCTCTCTTTCTGCTACACATCTATCGCTCGCCATTATCGCTATTGCGAAAAATCCTCTCGGTTCGTGTGCTTATATGTATACTTCCTCCTCAATGGCTTGTGGTGGTCTCTTCTCTCTTTTCATTTTTTCTGCGCACCGAATCGAAGAGAAGTCGAAGAACAATGTGGGCATGTGTGTGTGCGCGCGCGCGCCTTTAGCTCTCCGCTTAATGTTTTTGACGGTCCGTCCGAGCATTGCCAAACCGTGAAAGCGCGCGAGTTTATATAGGTTAGGGTGGAGTTTACGCTGGGCTGGAAAAACTTGCTTCGTAATATAGAAAATGTACGACGCTGTCCTCTTTACGATCGATTCGCTGCACGGTGCGCGACTTTCTTTAAAATCATATATCGGAGGGAGCTATTAGCTCGTACTCGCTCGATCGGCATCTAGAAAAATCGTCGCTGTATAATAATATACCCCCCTCCCCTCTTGTCAGTCAAAGCGCGCAAGATACAAGTTATGAAGAAAGTCAAAATAAAAAACATTCAACTTAGTTAGAGCGTGGGATATTTCGATGCGCGCGCGAATAAATTGCAAAAGTCTATGCCGTATACGATGGCTTTGATTGAGTATAGGTATAAAAGTTAGACACTGATTGCTCATATAAGTTTGTGCTCGCGCAAAGTCGCTCTCTAAGTTGTAAGCAACTTTAATCCGGTTTGGAATTCAGCAGCTATATGTACTATGTATGGCCCAGGCGGAAGAACGCCTCCGATCCATCTATATATATACCTAGCCCGGTGCTGGGATAATGACTTCGGATTCGATCAGACCCGGGTATTATATACTCATGAGCTTTAATCGATTTTATCGTATTACAATTTTTTTTTCTTTTTTTTTTTTTTTGATCGCTTCCTCCAAAGGTCTGTGTATACGTACGAGCTCTGTGCGCGCGAGGGGGCTCAGATTTCACATTTTTGACGTTTAAATTTTGCGCGGCTCGCGCGTACAGCGGAATTTCATGCAAATAACACAGAAAGCTACATGTACCAGTGTGCGCGCGATTTACTTTGGTAATTTCCGATGTAATCACATTTTCGAGTGAAGCGCGCGCGGCTGTATTTTCGAGCATTACATGTCATGTGCTACTCACACACACATTCACAAACTCAAGCGCGTAATATATAGGTATATACAAACGATGAAACTTCTGCCTAACCATCAAAATCCAGATACGAAGCTGAGCGAACAGACATTACACACACAGACACACAGATATACGAGCGCGCGGGAAATCGCGTATATATATACTCGTGAACAGACAGTAATATAGTCACATGTATGATCGTCGAAAATAAAAGACGATGACAGCGCGGGGGTACGAAAAAAAAAGAAGAAATTACGCACCACTGCTGCAAGTTCTCGTGCGCGTGGATCTGCGCGCGGGTGTACAACGTAGCGTCGGACGATCTCCACGCGCGCGCAAAATTCGAAGCGTGAATTTCCATAAAAAGCTGTAGCAGTCGGCAGCAGCCCACGAGAAACCGGAAATTTTCCCGTGAAAAAGTAGAAAAAGACGGAGGTTGCATACTGCGCACGAGGTGCACGATATACATACTTGATATACAGCGGAGAGCCAGATGCAGCCGCAGCGAGACGTCTCTGCTCCGCGCTTCACATGGTAACAGCTCGTATATTTATATAGAGTTGTTTTGCGCGCATTGTTGGATGACAAAGACAGCGACGTCGGCACCGGCACCGGCTTTTTTTTTTAATTCAACCGTGCACGTGAATTGTCGTTATTATTTGTTCTGTAGCTCGACGCAGGCGAGCTTTATAACACGTCTTATTGCGCGAAGTCAAATCTATCGCGGGTAAGTACGTTACTCCGTGCTATTCAATGTTGAAACGCAACGCGTCGCATCTCATTTTCGTGAGCTAATAACGCGTTGAATTATATCGAAACGAGCGACTCGAGCGTCGTTACGACGTGACTGCTGGCTATTATAATTCGTTCTAAGCGCGAGTCGAGCGAGTGTTTTTATGGCGGTATTTCGGATAAGTTTTTTCCCTCCCTCGCTCGCGACCATTAGCTCGCTCGACAATCGGCCCTCTTTCGCTCGTGCAGTTACATTAGGGTACGTAATCGAGGTCACCTCCGAAGCGATATAAGCGCGACTTAATGATCGCGCGGAGAGCCGCGAAGAAAGAATAATATCAATCTCCAGTCTCTGTGGCGCGTACATGTGCGGCTGAGAAAAAGGAGCTCGCGCGAGTCAGTCGCAAGCTCGGTTGCACTCGCACACACAGTGGCATTCAGCCCGGAAGTATACGCGGGAATGCGCGACATCCATCGTGTGCACACACACACTTACACGAGAGATCGTCGAGTCAGAGGTGGGCGAGAGAGAAGTCGACCGTTGCTATATACTACAACTGCTCCCGCTGCACATTCGCATCGGTATACGGAGAGATACGGGGCGCGTAGCGTAAAAATAAAAAAAAAAAAAACTTGTCGCAGCGAGCTCTTTTGCAAACGACGTCGCGCGCAGGTATCGCGCTCGCGCGCGCCGCACAATGGGCTATACGTAGAGCATGGAGCAGCGGTATATACATAAACTTATGGAACGAGCAGCAGCAGCAGCACTGGCATGCCTTATCGCGTCGTTTTACGGCTTTCTCTTTCCTCCTCTTCTCCCTCTCGCTGCGTCTCTTTTGCCTCGTGTCTCTCTCTCTGTCTCACTCTCTTTGCAGTCCTCAACGAGGCCGTTTGGGTCGCGCGCGCGCGCGCCCCGATGGAGAGAAAATCGCTAATAGCTATAACATCTCGGGCGAAGCTTGCAGTCAACGACGACGACGAGAATTGCTTCTATGTATATATACGTATACGTAAAAGCTCTCATCGCCTAGCGAGCTCGTCTCAACGAGAGCTTGCAAAGCTGCTCACACCTTGTCTCCGTAGCACTGTAGTAGAGCAGCTGCGCTCGACTCTGCTCGGCGCATCAACTTTAGTACGGTATTGTGTATATATACGTCTATGCGGAGACCACTTTCTTCCCTATATAACTACAGGTATACACGAGCTAGATAGTCGTAAAGGCACGCGCGGCCGCTCGCTCGAGCTTGCATAATAATAACGCGCGAATTTCGCTGCTGCGCCACGCGCGCGGGATACGTACCGCGCGTGAAAACGTAGCGGATCTCCGCGAGTGAATCATTTATGAGCTGTATGAAGTACTTGAAGCTCCGAAAACTCCTATATCGACGATGTTGCACGCTCCGCGCTGGTACACAACGTTTACGATCCTCCGGCACGCGGAACTTATAAATAAGAAGTGGCCACTCGAGAGTATATGGCTGCGAAGCTCATCGATACTTAATTGCGACAAAGTATCGCGACTCGTCGTCCTCCTCCTTCTCCTGCCATTTATTTTATCGCCTGTCTATCCACAGCAACGCAGACGACGACAAGAGAAGAAAAAAAAGACGGAGCTCTTTCCCGCAAATGCTGCACGCGCGTACGAACACGTATCGCTAAAACACATGTATTCTTCTCTTCTCGGGGCGGGGGAAGTAAAATGGAGCCATTTTCTATACACGTACAAAAGCTCGTTTCATCGAGCAGAGCAAGTTATTAACATTCTCCGAGAGTCGTGCACGGCGCGCAAAAATTATTCCTTCGCGCAACTTTCACAGGCGTTCGTCCATTTTCGTTATACACGCGGGCTTGATCCCAGACAAAAGAGCCGCTGCTGCTGCTGCTGCTCGCGCGCGTCATTCCAGTTAGCGAGCGAGCGAGAGAGAGAACAGCGCGATTGTCTGCATTCTTGCAGAAGGTCTGAGTGAAGAATTCAGACACAGAACGCGTATAGTCGAAAAAAAGAAGAAGAAAGAGAAGATGAAGAAAAAGCGCGAAAGAAAGAAATCCTTGTCTCTCGGCGAGATTCCATCCGAGCAGCAGCAGTAGCAGCAGTCGAGGCATTGACGAAGACTCGCTCGCGTCTCATTACCATTGCAAATGACGTGTATTATGTCGTTGACCGCGCGCAGCTTCTTACATTATATTATTGCTATTCGGGATCCTTATATTAACATGAGAATGCGTCGAAACTTTCTATATAATATATACACATAGCGGCAGCTCGCGAGCCGAAACCAAAGTCCCGGGGATACAACTACTGCGCGCGAAATGCATCGTGCTTAAAACGCACACCAGCTCGCTTATATATATAAAAGCGATTATACCGTACGGGAGAAAAAGAGTGAGAGAGCTTTCCTGGGCGCTTTTGATAGAAATCGACGCGCGAGCGAGCGAGCTCTGTTTTATACCTCTGGGATTCGACTACCTGAGAGCTGCTGCTGCTGCTGCTGCTGCTGCTTTTTTTCTTCTTTTCGTTCACAATGCTTTTTCAATTTGTTCCTATACAGCGATACGTTTCTTTTTTGCATACGTATATAGCCAAGCGACGCGTTCGCGGTGAAATTTATGCAGATTATTATTTGCTTCGTGGCTGAGTTTGATATTATAATTTCTTCTGCTTCTTTTTTTTTTTTTTTTTGTTAAATTTAGTTGTCATCGCTGGAGTTTGCCGAGCTTATTGCGATTCGAAGACACAAGCGATCGAGAATTGAAATAAGTCGAATGAAATTTTATAGAGTAAAATATTATTACTTGATTCTCGAGTATCGCTACGACGGAGCTGCGCATCTATTTTTTTTTTGCTTGATACGTTTCGAGCTCGCGCGTCTCGATGATCGCGAGAGGGTCGTGGCTCGTCGACTCCCTTTAAATTGGATTTAGTAAGTTGAAATTATGACGTCTAAAATTAAAAAAGTAATGAGACAGGGATATAAGTCGACACTTAACCGAGTTACAGCGTGTCTTGCGAGCAAATGAATATCCTGGCGAGATGCTCTCGATTTTGTATGCTTAAAAATTTATGTATTTTCGTATTTGATTCTGAGTTATGAACTGAAGAAATATTTTTAAAAAGCACCAAAAAGCCAATCTTATCATATTCGATTACTTTTTTTAGACATGATGCATGGGAGAAAAATTTTAAGTCGAATGATTCAATGATTTAATAATGCTTTCGAATTGAAGCTAATTTTCCACAAAAAAAAGAACAGAAAAGTCATTTGAGAAGTACTCGTACACCCTTGACTCAAAGCCGTCTGGATAATAACAGCAGAGCTGAATGATAGAAAAAGTCACGACAAAAGAACGCATGACATGGACTTTTTGGGAGCAAATGCGTACGTTAAACGTGATTATTCAAATCCACTCTGGCGAAAAAAGCACTTGAGCGACCGAGTCAACAAAATTTCCTCCTCAAAACGTCAATTCTCTGGAAAAAAAAAACAAACTTGATCCATCCTACTCTTACCGATATTTGCTGCTGTATGCGTAAATTCTCGATGCGTAAAAAGCACATGCACAAACGTTTCCAGGCTAGAGTGGAGATGTCTCCGAGTACATATTTTCTCCAAACAATTGAAATGAATTATTCGAAAAAAATCTTTTTGAATGAATTATTCCCCGCGCCGAAGGCTTTGTTTTGATTTTTTAAAATTTTTCATTCATTGTAAAAGATGATTGTATTGGGCCATACATTGAAACAAACAAAATTAAAACAAAAGAAATCTGAGAAAATTTATTCATATGTGTGATATGAAAATTCTCCAAAATATCATAATTCGTCGGTCATTAAAATATATAAAAATATTTGTGTAAAATATAATTATGGTTCCGGCAGCTCTCGACCCGCAGCCGTCAAGCAAATCCTGTACAATTCCTCGTTCGTCGCGTCGACGAGGATCGTGCTGCTGCGCTCCATCAACTGCCGATCGCCCGTCCACTGCACGAAAGCCCTCACACCCCAGTAGCGGAAAAATGGCCTCGCGAGCTTCTCGCACAGGTGCACCTCGCAGGCGGCTTTCTGTCCTTCGGGCAGTCGTAACCAGTCGACGGAGCAGGCGAACTCGTAGTAGTCCTCGATGTGGTGTCGCCTCATCGCCTGTTCGGGTCTCCCGCGGATCAAGTCGTGGAGCGTGACGCCGAAATATATTTTCCCTATCTGCCTCGCTTTTTCGGCGAACTCCTCGTCCTCGTACCAAGGTGACTGTCGAGGATCCATCGGCTGCTCGAACATTTGGTGCCTGGCGAACGACGTCATGATCGTCAAGGCGTCGCTTTCCCTGATTCGGTATCCGGCCTGCACGAGGTATTCGGCGATCATCAGAGCGCCCGACGCCCGTCTCAGTTTACAAGCGTCAAAAGTTATCGGATCGTACAGTGGCACGTATGACGTGTCGAAGTGACTCTCGTCGGGATAAACGAAGCCGCACAGACTGGCTCCACGATCCAAGATGAAACCGACGGTATTCGGCAAGACGCTCGCCACGGCGTAATGGAGCGGCGTCCGACCGAACACGTCCTGATGATCGAAGACCTCCACTCGATCGAATTGATCGGCGATCCTGAAGAACGTCTTCACGAAGTCGTCGTCGACTGTGCCCTGGGCGATCAAGTGCAGCGGAGTGAATCCCCACGAGTTGGCATGACAGGGATCGGAGCCTTTTCTCAGCAGCAATTTGGTGGCATTCTTTTTGCCGTTGCTCAGAGCATTGTGCAATGGTCTGTTGCCCAAGCCATCCTCGGCGTCGATATCGATCGTCTGCTTTCTTTCTTCGCTGATCTCGAAAAAATCAAATAATACCTGCAGGTCATCCTGCATATTGCATATCAGGTGCAGAGGGGTCTCTATTTCATTGTTGGTCCGATTCAGGTCGACGCCTCTTCTTAACAACAATTTAGCCGCCTTCGCATTGTTGTGGCGTAGTGCCACGTGCAGCGGTGTCTCGCCTGCTCTGTCCCCGACGTTGACTCGCAACGTCTGATTCGACTCGTCGATGATCCGTAAGAATACCTCCGCAAAGTCATCGTACTTCTCGCAAATCAGGTGTAAGGCCGTCGATCCGTTTCCGTTGGTTAAGTTCAGATCGGCTTTGTGTTTCAGCAGCAACTCGATCACGTTCGCGTTGGCACTTTTCAGAGCCGTGTGCAGCGGTGGATCGACCGATGCATTTGCCGCGACGAGATTGGGATCCTGGCCGAGCTCGAGAAATCGTTGGACGACTTCTTCGCATCCGAATTCGCAGGCTATGTGGAAATGCGTGAGCCCGGACTCGACGTCGGTGTAATTCACGTCAAATCTGTCGTATATTTTGAACAGGCCGGGGACCAGAATATTCGCGTCGAAGGGGCAGAGTCTAGCCGCGTGATGCAATGCTGTGGTGCGACTCGACGATGGCTTGCCGTCATCGCCAACGACGGGCTCGTCTTTGTAGTCGGTTTGAGTCACGGCTATAACGAATTGTATTCCTTGCTGATTGGGCTCGTCGATCAAGGACTCCTGAAGAAGCCAATCGATTTCTTCCTTTCGAAAAATTTCCAGGAGATTTGTGAGTCTTCCTTCCCAATTTTTCATCCACGGGTAAAATCGACGTAGAAATGAACTACCTTGGACTTCATCGGCCATCTTTCAATTCTTTTCACAAGTACGACTCGAAGTAGTGTACGATAAAAAATATAAAAAATATATTTTTACTTTCTGTCGCGAAAATTACTCGTCGCGGTCGATGTGTGATATTTTTCTACTTGTGCCACGACATTTGAACGGCTATGCCGATTGACGAACGACGCTCGAGCTGTATTGTATTTGTTTACGTTTGATCCGAGCGAAGAAGTCAGTGCGAGGCTGACAGAATTACATTGTAGGCTTTGGCAGATAATAATTGGTAATATCAATTAACAGTAAAGTCAATAAACACATTGTCAGTAAAGATAATAAATGGTAATGATTGATATTGATTATCAATAAAATATCAATTAATTAATATTATAATTATAATTAATAACTACTTAACATTCGGTTCATTTAAATGAAAATAACGCATGAAATAAATTTTCGAAGATTTTCCTTAGAAAATACCCACATTGCATGAAAACTTCCCTTGAAACCTTTCGAGAAAGCTTATTTCTATAAATTGTTTTTTAGCTTCCCGAAAGCATAAAAAAGATTTATGGATTCTTTTCCAAAGTTTCCCGAAATTGCAAGAAAGATTTCATGAAATATTTTTTTTGATGGTTTTATCAAAACATTTAGGAATCTTACCTGATCTTTTCAGGGATGCTTTTATGAAACCATTTTAAAAGCATCAATAAAACATGGAAACTTACAGTACATTTCAGGAGAAATTTCAAAAAGTTTTCAGTGAAACTTTCAAAAAGCTGTATAGACACTTCTGCGTGACTTTTGAGTTTCGTACATTGACAACAGGTGGCGTATACATCAATGTATTGAAACTAGCAAGTGTGTAACAGGAAATTTTTATATAAGTACGATAATTATGCTTCCTATAATCGAACAAAATTCTACATATGAAAAGAAAAACATTATCTATTTAACAACTGAACTTGAAAATTAGAGTTGAACTGTTTATCTATCAAAATCACTGCTTAAATGTTTCAAAAAGATTGACTGAATTTTGATAAATAATTCATAAATTGATTATTTATTACAAATAAAGTTTATGAGTTTGTGGTAACCAAATTGAAAAAGTTTAATATACTGATTAAATCTCGATTAAAAGTGGATATATTCTGTGGGCATTAATAGAATCACGTCTGCTACATATAGATAGATGCATCGACTTATTTACAATTTATTATTTTTTTAATACTTTTATATCATTAATCCTTAAAAAAAATCGTTTTACCCATAAATGAAGATATCAAACAGAAAATTGATCAACGATATCATAGTTATTTTAATTTTCTATTAATTTTGCTTCAGAGTCGAAGATCTAAAAAAAATCACGACAAAATCCGACATAGACATGTTTTGGGGACAAATGTGTACATGAAACACGATTATTCATATTCATTTTGACGAAAACAGCTATTGATCCTGCGAGCGATCAAATCAACAAGATTTCTTTCTCAAAAGCCAATTCTCTGGAAAAAAAACAAATTTGATCCATCCTACTCTTACCGATATTTGCTGCTGTACACGAAAACTCTCAACGGGTAATCAGTACACCTATACAGACGCACTAGACAACGGAGAAGATGTAAGTAAGTACATGTTTTCATCAAACAATTAAAATGAGTTGTTACAAAAAAATTCTCTGAATAAATTATTCTCCGCGTCGAAGGTCTTATATTAATTTTTTTTTAAATTTTCAGTCTATGCAGAAAAGGTATTATATGGGCAATGAATTGAGAAAAATAAAATTAAAACACAACAAATCTGAGAAAATTCCGCAAAAAATGTATATAATGACGTCTTAAATTAAAATATATATTACAAATGTGGTTATATCGTTATCGCGTGTTTTAGCATGCAACCGACAAGAAAAGTTTACATAACTGTTCGTTGTTTAGCCGCTTGAGGATCCTTTTTCGGCGCCCCTTCAGCCCAATGCGCTGATCGAGTGGCAACTTCGAAAAAGCCCTCTGTTCCGAGTGCAGGAAAAATGGCCTCGATAGTTTCTCGCACAGGTGCAGATCGCAAGCGTCTCTTACTCTTTCGGGGAGACCATGATATTCGGCAGAGCAGCCGAGCTCGTAGTAGTTCCTATACGTGAGTTGGCTCGACGCCTCGTCGGGTCCCATACGGATCAAGTCGCGAAGCGACCGATCCGCATTTACCATTATCATTCTCGATCTGCGCGCGAACTCCTTGTCTTCGTACCAAGGCTCCTCGAGATCCACCAGCTTCTCGAACATCTGATGCTTAACGAATAATGCTATGATCTGCTGGTAGTCGCTGTCCTTCAGTTCGTATCCTCTTTGCTCGAGTCGCTGAGCGATCATCAGAGCGCCAGATGCTAGTCTCAGTCTAGAATTGTGCCACAATTCAGAATTCAGTGGCACGTATGACGTGCCGAAGTGACTCTCGTCGGGATAAGCGAAGCTGAACAGTCCAGCTCCACGATCCAAGAGTAAATCGACGGCATTCGGCAAGACGCACGCCACGGCCCATTGAAGCGGCGTCTGGCCCTGATTATCCTTAGCATCGACTTGCACCGTCTGATTCAACTCGTCGTTGATCCGGAAGAATAGCTCCGCAAAGTCGTCGTCGACCTTACCCTGGCAAATCAAGTGCAGAGGCGTCACTCCGTACGAGCTGGCTAAATTAGGATCTGCCCCTCTCCTCAGCAACAACTCGGCCGCCGTCCTGTTGCCATGGCGCAGAGCCCAGTGCAATGGTCTGTCACCAAAAATATCCTGAGCGTCGACCTCGATCGTCCGATCGTTTTCTTTGCTGATCTCGAAAAAATCATACAATATCTGTAAGTCTTCTGTTATCTCGCATATCAGATGTAAAGGGGTCTCTGCTTTGTCATTGGTGCGATTCAGATCTGCACCTCTTTTCAGCAGCAAATTGACCAACTTCCAGTTGTGGCTGGCCAGAGCCAAGTGCAATGGTGTGCTGCCCGATTTGTCTTGAGCATCGATCAGCACCGTCAGATTCAACTCGTCGTTGATCTTGAAGAATAGCTCCGCCAAGTCGTCGCCGAAACTTCTTTTACATATGACATGGAGAAGAGTCGTTCCCTCGAAGTCTGACAAATTCGGTTTGTCGCCTTTACTCAGCAGTAAACTGGCCAACTTGCTGTTGTGATCGGCCAACGTTTGTATTTCGCTGATCTCGAAAAAATCATATAATACCCGCAATCCATCGTTCACCTTGCATATCAGGTGCAGAAGGGTCTCTTTATCGTCGTTGGTCCGATTCAGGTCGACGCCAGCTCTTCTAAGCACCGATCTAGCCGCCTTCTCGTCCCCGTGGCGTAGTAGCAGAGCCAAGTGCAGCACATCGGAATATCGGTCTATTTGGGCCATTTTTCGATACTTTTTCACAAGTACGACTCGAAGTAGTTTACGATAAAAAAATATAAAAAAATATATTTTTATTTTCTGTCGCGAAAATCACTCGTCGCGGTCGATGTGTGATATTTTTCTGCTTGTGCCACGGCTCTTGAACGGCTATGCCGATTGACGAATGACGTATGTAAGCTCGAGCTGTATTGTATTTGTTTACGTTTGATCCGCGCGAAGAAATCAAAGCGAGGCTGACAGAATTACATTATAGGCTTTGGCAGATAATAACTGTTAATGTCAATTCCACTGCAAATTAATGATTGATATTGATTATCAATAAAATATAAATTTATCAATATTATAATGATTTGAAACCTCCTAAATTGAGCTATTTTTTACGGGAAAAATTATCTATATTACCCATAGAAAACTACATGTAGCTTTTGACATATGTGAAAATTTGGGGTGCAAATATCTTCTTTGTTATTTAGTAAATCCATTTAATTGAAATTTCGATTCAAGTTTGATTAATTATAGTTTTGTACAGTAAATTTGAAAATTATATTTGTATTATAGTTATATTTTCAACCAACATATCGATTACTACGTATCGATCGATTTATTCAAATGAAAAAGAAACGCTGTTCATATATTTTCAAAAAATTTCTTCATAAAATAATTATCCTTTCTATTTTCATTCATTAAGTCTTAGTAAAGAAACAAAACAATTTTCTATCCCACAATCATCTTAAAAAAGGGGAGTTTTGAGCTACATATCTAAGTGCATAATTAAACTGAAATAAAATCAAAACAAAAAAAAAACTCCGAACAAACTAGTGAGGCCAATTATTTTCAAATTTATTCATAAGTACGATATGAAAATTCCTAAAATTTTAATGACGTTCGACATTAAAAACTATTTTACAAAATATATTACAAAATATATTTAAAAAAATACGATTATTTTTATTCAAGAGTGCATCGACGGCTTTCGGCAAGATACTCGCCACGGCCCAGTACAGAGGGCTTCGACCGTGCTCGCCCTGTGCGTCGACTTTCACCGTCTGATTCAACTCGTCGTTGATCTGGAAGAATTGCTCGACAGAGTAATCCCTGACGTATGAATCGTATGACGCATAAATCGAGTTCAGAGGCGGCTCGCTGCTCTGAATATTCTCCCCTTCTCGATGAGGATGCGGCGTCTCTCCGTTCGGGTCGGCACGGGCTCTCAGCAACGATCTGGCCCACTCCACGTTGCCGAGGCGCAGAGCCTCGTCAAACGGCGTCCCACGAAACTCGTCTTGAGCTAAGAGCCATTTTCGATACCTCGGATTCATTCCCAAGAGTACATTCAAGAAGTCGTCGTTTCTCTCGCACATCAGGTGCAAAGCCGTCGAGCCGTCCCTGTTGGCTAGAGTCGGATTGGCGTCATACCGCAGCAGCAGGACTTTGGCCGTATTCCTGCTACGATTGAGCAGAGCCAAGTGCAATGGTGTATTGCCCAACTTATCCTGGGCATCGATTTGGGCCGACAACTTGTCGTAGATCGACCACGTTAGAAACATATATTCGAAGTTCTTGCAAACGATGTGCAGAGCAGTCGATCCTTTCTCGTTGACCAAATTCGGATCCACATCTTTGTCAACCAGTAATTTCGCCATCCAGATATGCCCACCCTCCACAGCCAAGAATAGCGGTGGGTCACCATTAGTGTCCTGTGCGTTGATATTCACCGTCTTCTCGACATATGCGCAGATTTTGAAGAACCTTTCCAAGAAGTAATCGTCGACTGGTTTCGCACAGATAATATGCAGAGGAGTCGTTCCTTCCCAGTCGGTCGAGTTCGGATCGGCGCCTTTTTTCAGCAGTATTTCTGCAACCTTTTTTTTGTCGTGAATAACGGCCAAGTGCAGCGGTGTCTGGCCCGACCCGTTCTTGGCGTCGACCTGCACCGGTTGCGGATATCGTCGCTCGCAGATTTCGAAAAATATTTTCGTCAACGACACATCTTCGTTGTGTTTCTCACAGATGACGTGCAGAGCCATCGATCCGTCTCCGTTGGTTAAGTTCGGATCGGCTTTATGTTTCAGTAGCAACTCGATCACGTTCGCGTTGGCACTTTTCAGAGCCGTGTGCAGCGGTGGATCGACCGATGCATTTGCCGCGACGAGATTGGGATCCTGGCCGAGCTCGAGAAATCTTTGCAAGACTTCTTCGCATCCGAATTCGCAGGCTATGTGGAAATGCGTGAGCCCGGACTCGACGTCGGTGTAATTCACGTCGAATCTGTCGTATATTTTGAACAGGCCGGGGACCAGAATATTCGCGTCGGAGGGGCTGAGTCTAGCCGCGTGATGCAATGCTGTGGTGCGACTCGACGATGGCTTGCCGTCATCGCCAACGTCGGGCTCGTCTTTGTAGTCGGTTTGAGTCACGGCTATAACGAATTGTATTCCCTGCTGATTGGGCTCGTCGATCAAGGACTCCTGAAGAAGCCAATCGATTTCTTCCTTTCGAAAAATTTCCAGGAGATTTGTGAGTCTTCCTTCCCAATTTTTCATCCACGGGTAAAATCGACGTAGAAATGAACTACCTTGGTCTTCATCGGCCATCTTTCAATACCTTTCACAGGTACGACTCGAAGTAGTGTACGATAAAAAATATAAAAAATATAATTTTTACTTTCTGTCGCGAGAATCACTCGTCGCGGTCCATGCGGGATTTTTTTCTGCTTGCGCCACGACTCCTGAACGGCTGTTTACCGATTGACGAACGACGTACGCAAGCTCGAGCCACATAATTGTATTTATTATTTATTTGTATGTTCGAGGCGAGCAACAACAGTCATGTATGTCGCGCACGAAAAATTCTGACCTTCTATATTACAGGTTGATTATTTTTAGGAGATCATCGCTCGCTTCATTTTTTATAAACACGCGCAAAAAATTTCACCTTCGAAATAACGAAAACAATAAACTCGAGTGCGTGTCAAAAAGAAAACCGGGGACCGAGTGGCTATAAACTTTCTGGCGCGAAATAACTAGAGATTACATAAAAAAAAAAAAAGCCGCTGGTGCTAAGCAAAAAGTTAGAAAGTCTATGAAGAATAAGAAGGCGCGCGCGGTTGATTCCGGATGCTAGACTCGTTTCATCATCTACATACATTTTCCCCGCACCCTCGCGCCGCTTCATTTCTACTCCTCCTCTTCACCTTTCTCTTTCTCTCTCTCTCTCTCTGGAACGCGTGCATACATATACATAAAGTTGAAGAAACTAACCAATCAGTGCGAGTTGCGAGAGCTGAGAAATCCAAAAGTTCGTCCACTTCCTCGCGGCTGCTTCTCCTCGTGTGAGTATATAATATTTGCTCGGAGCTTCGTGCGTCTCTCACCTCTCTCTCTCTCTCGTCTTTCATTTGAAGCTCTCTATATCTCTTTCGCCAAAGTTTTCATCCCAGGCTAGAGAAACTATCGCTCCCTTTTTCTCTCTCTCTCTTTCTCATCTATATATTTGCGAGCACGCGCGCGCGCGGCCCTTTAATAAATTGCTTCGTGGCGGATATATATTTATTGCGAGCGATGTGAGAGAAAAAAAAAACATGTTTATGTGCTCCACGGCTCGCAGGCGGGAAGAAGAATCTTTTGGATTTACGCGAAAGCTTTTATACCGCGCGCGCAAGTTTTTCCAAGTAATTCTCGGTTAAAATGTATCGACGTCCTCCTCCTCTCGGTCGCTCGCGAAATCACGATATCGTATGGAGTGAAATTTGCAATTATTTTCAAAGTTATGTACGTATAAAGTCAGTTTCGCGTTTCATAATGCCGTAATAAAGAAAAAGTCACTCGTCGCGTACGCGTACATTCGCGCGGGTAATATTCGCGCGCGTCTTCAACGATCTCTCGTTTTCTTTCAAATCCGTGCGCTAAAAGGTGGCACGAGCTAGAAGCTTACCCTGCACACACGCACAAAGCTTAGAGTGAGAGAGAGAGAGATCCACAAGCTGTCCCCGTTCACATGCCTAATGCGTTAATGCACGTGCTCGAGCGCACACACATACACGCGCACATACAGTAAAAGAGCACGGAGAGATTCTGTTATACGCTTTGAGTGTCTTTTGTTAGGCAAATGCGTTCCTCTCTTTCCATCTTTCTTTCTTTTTTTGTTCCGAGAAATGGTTGCGATCCGCGTGATACTTTGACGTCGACTTTGAAACATTTTGGAGATATTTTTTTTTTTTTTTTCGAAAATGACAAAAGCATTCGTGACCGCATTCGTTGTCGGGGCTAAAAAATTTCGCATTTTTGCGATCCATTTGATCTTCTTTTGAAAAATGCCCCCAAGTAATCGGTACAATTAGGTGAGAATAATGTTAAATCATTTTAAATATAATGTTACTAATAAACTTTTTTGTGTTCATAATTGATGAACAGTTGCAACAAATATTTATAAAGTATTGTATTTTTAAGTAAATTATTAATTTGATGATTAGTAATCAAAGATACTTTATCAGTGAATGACTTTTCGTAAAAATGTGAATTGATTTCTTTCCGTAATCCGAAGAATAATTTGATTTGAATAATTCCTCAAGGGAAATAATATTACTGGAAATGAATGGTCCCGAATCGATGTATTTTATAATTAAGTGGTATTGAAATTTTACAATATATCAATATCAATTATTATTTAAAAATACAAAAATCAATGAAATTTTCAAATAAGTTAATGTCAACTTCCACCCCTAGATGGCGAGGATCATTATATGTAAACCTGCAAGTGGCCACTCATGAATTTTCATACAAGTAAGCGAATTTTTATACAAGTAAGAAATTCTTTTTTCCATATGTTCCCTCCATACAATATATGTTAAGCTGTGCGCGCCAGGGTAGATAAAATGCATGTATTCCTTATCACGGCGGTGCCGCGTCGACGAGCGCAAAACTCTCGCGGGCGACAAGACGCGTATGTACGCACGGCAGACACGCAGCAGACACGAGAAAGAAAGGTAGCAAATATTTCTTTCTGGCGGTTGGGCTTTTCGCGCGTTCATTCTTCACCGGCGCCTTGTAGCTGCTGCAGTGGCTTCTCTCAACGATAGGTTTACCTCCATATAAATGTGTATGTGTAGCGAGGTACAGGAGGTAGAGTGTGAGAATTGGATGTAACAAATCGTCCGTCTTTCGAGCTAGCTCTTCTCTCTGCAGCGCGTCGAGTGAACGCATACACGCGCATTCACGCACACGGACGCGTATACCGCACGAGCGGCGTGTGGGTGGCCCGCAAGGCATCTTGTACGGACGATGTGTTTCGTTATTTTTTTTTTTGTGTTGCCGACGGAGGCACACGTCACGCGTTGAAGCCCATTCCTAACGATTACTTATCGTTTTCTGCTCCCCATTTACACCGTGTTTCTCCTAAGAGGGCGGGGGATGAAACGCCGACGAGAGAAGGCTGTTGGAAAACCATTGAATTTTCGGTCCATTCATCTTGTCGATGATTGCGGTGGGAGTCGACGCGTGCGCGTGGTGGCTTTTAAAATTGCCCGTTGAAGTTACCCTGTGCGCGGTATAAAAAGTTACTTAAAAACGCTTATTCAAAGGCTTTACATTAGTTACAACCTATGTAGGTGTTCCGAACAGCAGGTATTCATATTTTTTGAAAAATTACGATACACAAAAGGGAAAAAAATGAAGCGTCATTGCAGGAAAAAATGTTGCAAAAGCTCGAATCCATTGAATAAAGTACTCAGAATTATTTACCCGAGTTTTTTCCGAATACTAAATTATTTTCGGGCACGATCGAAATCCAATATAATATAATTTAAATCGCTTAATTGGATAGAAATTAGAAAGTGTAGAGGCGGGATCTATGCATTGTCATCTTTGCCGAGAAAGTCATATGCACGAGAGTCATCTCTTTGCCGAATTACTCAAAATTTCCACTCGTTACTGCATACATTCCTAAAAAATGTATACGTGACTACTCAAAAATGTAGATCGTTGCGCTTGTATAGTTAGTACACGTTACCACGTTGCAGTGTAAGCAGTTTCCTTGAACTTACGATTTCCACTCGTTAATGTACATAATAACTCATATTACTTTCATTTCTTGTATCTTTGGCCACGTATTTTTTAACTTTCAATCATAGATCGCAGTGCATGTATAGTCGGTACATATTGTGACGTTGTATGTGTAGGCAATAGAGAAAGATCCGTCCATCGATGCTGTAATATGATCTTCGAACAGCTTAAGTACGAAGTTTTATTTAATATTTGGATGGCGACTACGAGACAAAGTTCGTGATGCCAATAAGCATACTTATCGTCTATTGTTATTCATTGTTTTGTAGTTTCCTCGTGATTCAAATAAATGTATTAAAAAAAATGTGTTTCGACGTTTTTATTGATGAACACATTGATAACATTACTGTGGCGTTTTATCGTGTCTAAAATTTTAATTACATGCATGTCCAAAACAAAAAAAATTGAATAAAAAAATTATACTACACCTCCATTGAAAACGTTCAAATATTTAAAAAATCGCTACTATTAATGCTCGAAAAAAAATCGAGAACTCGAATTTTCCTGAATCGACTCGAATTCGACGCGAGTCAGCAACTCCATTCTAGTAAAACTCGAAGAATCGAGTAGCGCGCCTACCTCCTGGCTGTACATTATAATACACGCATAATAATATCGCATCAAATCCGCGCGCCACATCCGAGTTTTTCTCGCGGGGGCGTTAAATGCTTCGCTCGGGTTGCTATACTGCCACGGCTTTCAGACTGCGCGCCACCCTACGCGCCAAAAGTCTCTCTCTCTCTCTCACTCATTCCGCACTGCTCTGTGTACACTATGCCATATAGCGAGGCACACAGAGAGTAGCTCCGCGCGAAAGTAGAAGAGCAATGTGCCTCGTGGGCGTTTTCGCGACGCCGGTAGCAGCCTAAAGAGAGAGAGAGAGAGAGAGAGAGAGAGAGAGAGAGAGAAAGAAAAAAAAGAAAGTACTTACTCATACTCTTAGCATGGAATATACGGCGCGTAGTGTGCCGGTATATATATATGCTTTTGCCACCATGCGCAGGGCTTGCATATGTGCGCTACAATACCACGCGTACACCATTATGCATACGTAGTTAACCCTCCGCGACGACTGCTTATGCCTATACACACACATATACGCGTGTACAACAGGTCGAGTTCTCGCTCGTCGGAGTTGGCTCTTTCGCGCGCATCGCTGCGGGCAAACAAACTCGCGCGTATATCGGCTCGCGATCGCTGCTGCTGTACATGTGTATGCTGCAGTTACGCGAGCGAGAGTGGCTTCGAGCGCAAAAGCCCATACAGTGAATTATGTGTGCGCATACGCGTGTAGGAGGAGTCGTAGTGCCTGTGCTGCTGCTGCTTACCCTCGCATTGTATATACGTACGTATACAGAAACGCGCCGACTTTCATCCATCACCGCGTCGTACATTGTATATATAGTATATACGCATCTAAAGCTCACTCGAGCTGCGTCTCGGTATAGATACGCGCGAGTTTCGCGCTTACGCGGCAGGCGTAAAAAATAATACCTACATACACCTGTCCTTACGTATAGCTCGATATACAGAGGAGGAAGAGAAGCAGGGGGATAAAAAAGTCAACAACAAGTGTCTTCTGCGAAGTGACGCGTCGCAGGTGAGAGAGACAGGGAGAAAGGCAATGTCGCGTTGTTTACAAGCTCGCTTATATGTTATGTATCTACTTGCTATATATATAGTAAGTCGCGTCGAGATTGGGCTGTGTGTGCCTTATATCATCTACAGGCGACGCGATCGAGCTTGATGGAATTTTGATCGAAGGCGCCTCCTCGTGTGCTTGCGTAGGTGTATATATACGCGACAGACAGGGTGAGACAAGGGGATATGTATAGCCCGATATATACAGATACCGAATGTAATGACGCGCCGATGCCGACGTCGTTCTTATATACGGTATAGGTGAAGTGTGCAACGCTGTAACGCGGTAGCGCACGTCGTCGCACGCCATATATAGGTATATGTAGCGAATGGAATGCCTACCTTATACCTGCGTACCTATCTACGGTTAATGTCGTTTTGCCGAATTTCGTCGTCGTCGGGGCGCTGTATTATATTATCAGGGCACTCGGACTGTACTATCGTATCATTATTTAATAAATGTGAGTAAGACTAAAAAATTTTTAAATTATCGTCCTTGGATTTGGATGCTCTTTTGGTATAGTAGATTGCGAAGAAGTTACCGAGATTCTAGACCACAATATCACTCGAAAGTGGTACAAATTATATTAACGTCAGTTTTCTGATAAAAAAGAATATTAAACCATCTCCAGGGTTTCGGAAAAGCTTATAACAAATTCAAAAAGCCATTGTCGGCGATTTGACTGGAAAAGGGACCGAGAAATTTTTTCGATCAATTTTAGCATTAAACTACGTAAAACCGAATATTTTCAGATGTTAAAAGAGGATATTCAGATGAATCTTCAAGTTTGATACTGAAAATGTGAAAAAGAGATTAATCATATTTTTAGCCGGAAGCTTTTTTCGAATGTATTGTCAGTGTTTTTTTATTTACAACATGTCAGTTATTAAAAAACAACGAGTAAATATTAAGAACATAAATAATATAAATAATTAATTGATCCTGGCAGAGAAGTCATTATTTAGAGTAAAATTTTTACAATTATTACAAAATTATGAATAGTTGAAAATATTTCATTGTTTTTTACGAAATTAAAAGATATTTATTTAAACGATTTTCTAAAATTGCATTACATACTTAGGTAAGAGTCTTTTATCACAATTATCTCAGGTAGTCAAGATTATGTGCTGTCAAATTGTAGTTTTCAAGTTTAGTCCAGTATCTAAGTGATTTGTAGCTAACCAGTCTCAAAGGGATGTGCCAATTTTATGTGTTTGTCGAGGTGGTCCTTTGTGCCGAATGATTCGGGACAAAATTCACATTTGTTGGGTTTGTAATGATTATGTTTTCTATTGGTGTGACCATTGAGGTTCCATTTTGATCCAAATGATTTATGACAAATTTCACATTCAAAGGGTTTGATCCGATTATGTATTGTATTTACGTGATTTTTGAGTACATGCTTGTATCCAAATGATTTGTAACAAATTTCACATTTGTAGGGTCTGTAATGCTTATGTTTTGAATTTGTGTGATAATTAAGTTCAGCTATTTGTCCGAATGATTTGTCACAAATTTCACATTCAAAGGGATTGCTCCGATTATGTACTCTATTTACGTGATTTTTGAGTGCACTCTTGTATCCAAATGATTTGTGACAAATTTCACACTCGTGTGGTTTGTTACCATTATGTACTGAATCAATGTGAATATCGACGTAAGTCTTGGATGAAAATGATTTTTGACAAATGTAACATACGCAGAGTTTGCTTCCATAATGCATCGCTTTTATGTGATCCTTGAGAGAATCCTTGCGGCCATATGACTTATGACAAAAATCACATCCGAAGGGTTTTTCCTCATTATGGTTTGTGTCCTTGTGACTCTTGAGGTCACTTTCCTGTCCAAATGAATCAGAAAAAGGCTCACGTTCGAAGGGTTGGCTTTGATTATGTTCTGAGTAATTGTGACCCTCAAGGTCACTTTCTTGTCCAAATGAATCAGGAAAAATCTCACATTCGAAGGGTTGGCTTTGATTATGTTCTGAGTAATTGTGACCCTCGAGGTCTTTTTCTTGTCCAAATGAATCCGAAAAAATCTCACATTCGAAGGGTTGGCTTTGATTATGTTCTGTGTCCTTGTGACGTTCAAGCTCACTTTCCACTACAAATGATTCATGACAAATCTCACATTTGAATGGCAAATGTATGCGGCCCGACATTACATCCACGTCTTTTAACCTGATGAATAATTAAGATTGATTCGAAAAAAATTTTCAAAAAATATAACAACATATGTAAAAAAGCAGTACCTCAATGCGTTCTCTCAACTTTCCATCGAACACTTGATCGTGTGCAATCACTGATAGAAAATAAAATTAAAGTAGGCAATGATGATGTACACCTCGAATTTATAAATTTGTAAACATGACTTGCTCACGTGAGAAATCGACCACATAACTAGCAATTACAGGCACTACTAATTTATTATAGCGAGGTGATCCCGAGCTTATGGTAGCTTCTTGGCTTTATTTTCCCGCTCTATTGTTAACTGGACATTGATACGCAGTTTTGTACTCTTGTTCATAGAGGGACTCGAATAATGTTAAAATCACACCGAAATCGTAATGAAGTCATTCAGTAAGGCGCATAAATGCACCGCCCACGTCTCTATGAACCCATACCGATAATGTACGTAATGGTACTACACATGTGGTATTACGAATGAGGTTTTCTTTGTCAATGGAGCATTAGGTAGGAAAATATCTACAATAATTGAACAAAATATATGACTTTTATCAAAGTCATTTGTGCAGTAATGTAATTAATAAGTGATTCAATTTTTGGCGATAAAAACTAATTATTTTGGTGAATTTCTTATAGTTTTCAACAAGACTTACAAATAGATGTTACGTTAAATAATTCCTAGCTCAGTCTTGAATGACTCTAGGTAAAAAATGACTACAGAGCTTTGAAATGGAATTTTTTTAAGTTTTTGGATGAAAAGTCTTAAGGTCTAAGCACTGGAAACTACATATTATGGAAAAAAGTCGAATAATACCCGGAAAGAATAGTCTTTCCATCGTTAGATACGTGAAATTGTAGTATGCTTTACAAACTTCATGAACTGCTTCCCCGTGTCCGCGTAATTGCACTTTTGGTCCGAATTTTGAATTGCACTTCTCACTTGTAAACTCATTGCGACCTTCGTGGACTGTCTTTTGGTGGAGGAGCAAATTATATTTCCGCCCGAATTTCTTTTGGCACTTGTCACATGTGAAATCTTTTTGACCTTCTTGAACTTTTTTGGTGTTCAATCAAATTGCTCTGAAACCCACATTTTTTCTCGCTACTGTCACGTGCAAAATCATTCTGTCCTTCGAGGAGTCTTTTCAGGTGGGTGAGCAAAAAAAATTTTAGTCGAAAATCTTTTTTACACTTGTCCCATGCGAAATCTTTGCGATTTTCACGGACTGTCTTTTGGTGGGCGAGCAAATGTTTTTTTTTTGTTCAATTAATTTTACTCGGTAATGAAGAATGTACCTTTGGTTCGATTCAATGAAACAAATACAAATATAACCGAAATAATTAATATTTTAATGTAATTTTTCACCTTGTGAAACATTTGTTTTTTTTTTTAAATTTAACCAAAGGTACAGCATCGATTACCGAGTAAAATGAATTAAATAAAACACAAAAGGCATGACTTTGATTAGTTATTTTTGTTCCCGCATTGCTGAATATCTGCTTATGCAGAAGTACAACCTTGGGCAATACTTTTCGCTGGTGAATTATGAATGTTTAAATGAAAAATTCAGCCACATCACGAACAAGCTATGCGATGAGCGCCTTTTAAAATTGAAAAAACCAACAGAGAGGGCTGCTCTCATTTTTGGGCCTTTTTATACCCCTTGGTGTTCCATCTCCCCTCATTATACCGCAGCTAATGAGATTCGAGAGGTCAGCGTGGACGTTGGAAATAGGTGACTATCTGCCCTACCTTTTTACAACTTTTCCTCGAGATTCTTACGAAACATACCTTTATTCACGCTTCCTTGCGATCGTGGGACTTTTTCCGAAATTTGACCGACCCTCGTATAGTAGATATTTACATAGTGAGTAGCAAGAATTTTATGATGCGCCCGCAGCCATCGATCGACAAAATGAGAACTTCTGCGCGTATCTGTGAGCATACCTCGCTCAGTTCTTCCAGATTAATGTAACTGCTTTAATAAATGAGACTTATTGAAAAATATAAAATGGTAAAAAGCTATATGGGAGGATCAGACAGATTCACAAAATACTTTGGCTGGAGTGAACTGAATATACACTATTTGCAGAGATTTTTCTTATATCAAATTTCAAAAATCTATTCTCGGCGATTCGACTCGAAAAGCATCAAAATATATAAAATCGAGTATTTTCAGATATATTCAGACGAATCTCCAAGTTTGAAACTTAAAATGTAAAAAAGAGATGAATCATATTTTTGTGAGAAAGATTTGGCCAATGCATTGGCAGTATTTTTTTATTTACAACATGTCATTAAACAAAAGCCAACGAGTAAATAGTAGAAATATAAATAATATGAATAATTAATTGATAACTAAATTGCGGGATTAAATTATAAATTAACTTTAAACATTTTTTGTGGATCATTCAAGGCGATCAAGTTGAGAATACATAAAATTAGATTCATAGACGTAATATCCGTTTTTCGTTATTCAGCCGAAACACGGATCCTGGCAAAGAAGTCATTATTCAAAGAACAGTTTTTACAATTATTTAAAAATTGTTAACAGTTGAAAAAATTTAATTGTTTCTCACAAAATCAAAAGATATTTATTTAAAAGATTTTCCAAAATTACATTGCGTACTTAGGTAAGAGTCTTTTATCACAATTGTCTCGGGTAGTCAAGATTATGTGCGGTCAAATTGTAGTTTTCAAGTTTAGTCCAGTATCTAAGTGATTTGTAGCTAACCAGTCTCAAAGGGATGGGCCAATTTTATGTGTTTGTCGAGGTGGTCCTTTGTGCCGAATGATTCGGGACAAAATTCACATTTGTAGGGTTCGTAAAGCTTATGTTTTGAATTTGTGTGATAATTAAGTTGAGCTCTTTGTCCGAATGATTTGTGACAAATTTCACATTCAAAAGGTTTGCTCCGATTATGTATTGTATTTACGTGATTTTTGAGTACTTTCTTGTATCCAAATGATTTGTGACAAATTTTACATTTAAAGGGTTTGCTCTGATTATGTACTATATTTACGTGATTTTTGAGTACATTCTTGTATCCAAATGATTGATGACAAATTTCACATTCAAAGGGTTTGCTCCGGTTATGTGCTGTATTTACGTGAGATTTTAAATGATCTTTGCGTCCAAATAATTTGTTACAAATGTCACATTTGTAGGGTTTGTAATGCTTATGTTTTGAATTTGTGTGAGCATTGAGGTTCCATTTTGATCCAAATGATTTATGACAAATTTCACATTCAAAAGGTTTGCTCCGATTATGTATTGTATTTACGTGATTTTTGAGTACTTTCTTGTATCCAAATGATTTGTGACAAATTTTACATTTAAAGGGTTTGCTCTGATTATGTACTGTATTTACGTGACTTTTGAGTACATTCTTGTATCCAAATGATTGATGACAAATTTCACATTCAAAGGGTTTGATCCGATTATGTACTAAATTTACGTGAGTTTTGAGTACACTCTTGTATCCAAATGATCTGTGACAAATTTCACATTCAAAGGGTTTGCTACAATTATGTGCTGTATTTACGTGATTATTGAGATTACTGTTTGTTCCCAATGATTTGGGGCAATGTGTCATTACACATTCATAGGGTTTTTTCTCATTATGATCTGTTTCGTCGTGACTCTTGAGGTCACATTGGAGTTCAAATAATCGATGACAAATCTTACATTCAAAGGTTTTTTTCTGATTGTGGTCTGTGTCTTCTTGACCCCCGAGGTCACTTTCCTGTCCAAATGAATCAGAAAAAGTCTCACATTCAAAGGGTTGGCTATGATTATGGTCTGTGTCCTTGTGACCCTCGAGGTCACTTTCCAGTCTAGATGATCGATGACTAATCTCACATTCAAAGTTTGTTCTTTGATTATGTTTTGTGTTCTTGTGAGCCTCGAGGCCACTTTGCCGTCTAGATGATTGATGACTAATCTCACATTCAAAGTTTGTTCTTTGATTATGTTCTGAGTAATTGCGACCCTCGAGGTCACTCTCTAGGTCCAATATATCATCTANAGTCTTGCCATCGTTAGATTCGCGAAATACTTTGCCTCGATTGAGCTTGAATGTGAACTATTGTAGTACGGCCGAAAACCATTACGAATCACCGGACAGAATTTGTTTAAAATTTTTTTTTCGCCAAGATCTCGTGGCTGACACAAATGCAACGATTTCTCATGCGTATGCAAAAAAATATCGTAAAATGGCACACGAGTTACGAATCGATAAAGAGCTCAAAATTTTCTGAAAAGTGAAAATTCTGAATGTGAACCATTGTAGTACGGCCGAAAACCTTTCCAAATCACCGGACAGAATTTGGTTAAAATTTTTTTTCGCTAAGATCTCGTGGCTGACATGAAAACGGAATTTAAAACATATTTGAAACATAACTTCTAAACGGCACTTCACTCAATTATCGATTTAGAAGAGGAATTTTTCGGGAAATCGGGAATTCTGAGAGTGAACTATTGGACTAGAGCTGTATACCTTTCGAAATCTCGCGTCAGAATTTCGATTGGTTAAGAATTCCCCGAGATTTCGTGGCTGACTCATGTTTGACAAAAAATCGGAAAAAAACGTGTTTTCACGCTAAAAAAAATTTGGATGGCTCTATCTTTTTATCCAATGCACCAAATCATCTGAAAATTTGCTTGAGTTCATTATTTTTTATTCCCTATCGAATGATACCTATCTGGTAGCACTTCAAATACCAGAAGTACCCCAACTAGAACTGCCTCTTTTTATTTCTCTCGCGCAGACGTATAGAATAGGTGCGCTGCACCTAGCCGACATTTCTTAGCTAATAAGGCTAACTTCAATGGATTTCAATGGAATAAATTTATTTTAATAATTATATTTTTTTATAGACATAATTTAATGAAAATTATTGCATAAAATTATTTTTAAATAATTTTTTTTGCAAAAAATTTTTTAATAATCTTTTTTTATACTTTGCCGGCTTGGTGCTACCGCACCTCTTGATAGTCACGTATAGCTCGTTAATACGATATTATATAAATTTTAGATTGTACACGCACTCGGGATTTCGGCAGCGTTACACGTATATAAATTATCGAGCGCAGCGCGATATTTTAATTAGACCATGCATGTGTATAGAGACCTCGAGCACGATAACTGTATTTAATACGTACGCGAATATTCCCTTCGAAAGTTCCCTTCTTACAGCTAGAGAAAGGATATGCTGACTGCGGAGTACAAATATATTTGAACATTTTTTTACGTCTTTTCCGCGTATCGCGCGTATACGTATATACGTGCAGTGTAACGGAGTCGCGTCGTTTATCGCGCGACATCCAAAGTCGCTTTTAAGGGTCGGGGTAGCAGGCACGCACTTAAAAATCATGATATACCCTATCCGGCAAAAGCGCCGCACGCGCAAACAACGCGCACCGCTTATTTTTTAGTTACCTCTTCGTTTGCGCACGCGGAATTACGCGCACACACGCACACAGGGAAAAACTCAGGCACCCACAGCACTCCTGCACTGCGTTCGGAATTTTTATTTTTTCCCATCTGTTTGAATACGCGTCGTATACGCTAGCTATGCTCGACGTTACGAGTCGAAAAAAAATTTCTCCCGACGTAAAGGAGGTGTGCGGCGCACTTGCTCTTTTTTTTGCTCACATCTTTTCTTTCCTTTTTTTTTTTTTTTGATTTTATTTCGTTTGCATCTCGTTAGGAAATTTACCCGTGATTACTGCCTCTTGAGCTGTGTCACGCTTGCGCAATCTTTCAAACTAATATCTCGAACGAGTCCTACAGCCGTTTTACGATTTTCAATTTTTTTCCCAATAATCGCTATAATTGCGACAAATGAGTCGCACAGATGTTGTTTTGAAAAAGATTCGTTCGACTATAAGAGATACATTCAAAAGTTTACCGCGATCCGAAGTATTTATATACGCGGTGACAGGTGGCTGATTTTCTCTCACTCGTAAAACATTCGCCGATCAAGCCGTCAGAGTAACACTCACGCGCGATCCGTCGAATTCACTGCCGCATATATATCCTCGTATCCTCTTCGCCGCAGGAGCAACCCGTTTCGATTATTATATTCGATACGAGCCCAGGGGGATACCTTTTTTTCAGGCACGAATATATCGAAGCCATATATACATTCGTATGTGCGGGTGTCGCTCACTCTTTCCTTTTTCTGTATCGCAGACCATTTTTCCTGACGACTATTGGCGAATACTGTATTCCCGTTTATAGATACGTATGTATGCGCTATAGTATACGGCGAGAAGAGAAAACAATTATCGGCGCTTTTTTATCTATTCATTGCTGCTGCTGTTGCTGCACAGTTTGATGCGCGTGATCGAGCTCTCTCTCTCTCTCTATCCGCTACCTATAAATTTTGTACGAGAACGACGATGCGGGTCCGATTGTGTATTTATGGATTTTGATTTTTTTTTCGCTTGCGATGTGTAGAAAAAAAAGACTTCGCACTCGTTTCATTGACCTGATAACACTAGATCATCTGCCCGGGTAGAAATGCTCCACTTTAATAGTGGTTTAATGAACAAAATTTGACAATTAATTAAAAATATTTTACAGTGTTTTTAGCGATTATTCGGCTCTAATCATGTTGTAAATATGAGGTACATATTGAATGACCAGCAAATGGCCATTCGATAGTTTTAAAAAATTTCGATTAGTTGTCATCGACTTTGAATACGATCATACTGCTTTGAACTTGTACTGATAGATGGAGAGTTCACCATCATCTGTAAATCTGCAAGTGGAGTGGCTATGTAAATTTTTTTAACGCCAATAAAAACTATCAAATCAAAATCTGCAAGTGGCAATGAAACACGAGCAGTTAAAGCCTAGCGTATCCGTATTTTCTACAAATTGGTACGTGCATCTAGTTCTTTCAAAATATTACTTTAAAAAAAGTCGATATGCTTTATTACTCGTTGCTGCTGAGAGTCACGTACTACCTAGTTCACCAGGCAGCGGTAGCCTACTACAGGCCTCCACCACCAGATGGCGAGTACCTTTTTTTTGCAATTCCGCAAGTGGCAAAGTAAAAATAATTGTAAAAGTCAAAGCAACTTAGTGTTAGAATCATGTATACATCATACGAAAAACAGCTCTATGGGAATTCATCCGAATCGATAGCTACAGTTATTCGATTAATACAGAAGAGTGAAGAAGAGGGTAAAAAACTTGTTTTCAATCTAACTCTTGAAAAAAATTTAAATTCGTATTTACAGGTCAGAGAGTCTATTATAGCGGCAGCTCTGTAGAATCCAATCGCGACTAGATTATCGTTACCGCAGCGAGCAGGCGAGATCCTTCGCTTATGTATCTAATAAACGTGTATATATACGTTTGGTTGTATGGTACAAGGAGGAGTTGGCCTTATCGCCCAACAACAACTACAACAACAACGACGACTTCATGCGAAGAGATAGCCCGTCGGTTCTAGCTGCACCTCTTGGTGCGCACTTCGATATAACTATCCAGCCCCTTTTTCAGTACTTTTTTTTTATATACATATATCGTACTTGCCCATTGCGCAAATTCCACACAACGAAGAAGAGGACGACGCGACGCTTTGCATACAAATTCACGTGTGCAGCAGCAGCAGCAGCAGCAGCTCGAGGATTGTTGTTGAAATTGCGCGCGGTTGTTGCTGTTATTGTTGTCGTTGCACCGACTCTGTTGCATAAAGCAATATAAACTTCGCCGTTCGCGAGATAGTTGACGTTGGGCGCATTCGCGCTAGGCTAGATATTATGCGGGGAGCTGCGTGCAGATCGAGCAAAATTTTGTGGCATGCGGGACGAGAGAGTCTTGAGACTGTTTGATAGTTTAGTTGTTCCGCGCACTTATATTTAGCGCTCTATGATCTCTAAATTATTTAGGTAATGCGATTATTTTTAATTGCGTCGAGTACGGATTTTCTACGACAAGATATACACATTACCGAAGGCAATGTGCAAGCATTGATAATGGCCTGCTGACCAAAACACGACCGTTTGAGATGTTTAAAAATATACTATTTTGAATGACATGAAAATGAGTACTGTTTAGCTATTTCAAAAAATTTAGACGAGTTTTCAACAAATTTAAATACGATAATATCACTTTGAGCCTCCACCGCTAGATGGCGAGTACACCAATATCTGAAAATCCGCATGTGACAAGGTAAAAATAATTGTATATAAGTCAAAGTATTCATATTTTCATATTTTAACGAGGTTTCATATTTTCAGCAAAATCTTATTTTTTCAGTAAAATCTTATTTTGATTAGTGTTAATGATAAAAAAAATCGATTCACCAAATATAACGAATATGATTTTTAAGCAGTAAACGATATCACACGCACATCGTTTATGCGCGTGGATTACATCTCTGTTTAGCCAGAGGCAATTACCCTATATCTATACCTATACACAGCATAAATGTGCATCGATACCCTCGCAATATATATCTATTTTACGAAATTATAATTTGGCCTAACACTACACAATAGAGATCAACGGCGTGTGCAGGATGATGTGCGGCGCGTCTCTCGCACACACCCACACACAAGTTCATGCGTGCCTATATTTGATGGTTGTACACGTGTATGCGTCCACAATATACACGTGAAACTCGAATTCGACGCGATCGTAACAACGCCGTGGTCCGCAATGAATGAATACGTACAAGCATATGACAAGCCTAGTTTTCGAGGGTCTCTCTCTCTCTCTCTCTCGCGCTCGCTCGTTCTCTCGCTCGAGGCTGTAAATGTATGTATACACTCACTCGCGCATACGAATACATAATATGTGGGCTAAATTATCGTCGAGCGTACGTAGGTCGCCCTATAACGCACGGTGAAATCCATACACCGAATACGTACGCGCTATTTTCGAAACGTTATTAAATTCCAAGTTGCGCGGCGCATCGATCCTGTCCTCGTCCAAGAGTACAGAGTGATTATGGAGTGGCATTTATTTCTCGAGATTCATTGATTTTTCGATCGATGTACATTATATACAACGCCGGGGCGTTTTATTATATAAAATAAAGACAAGGATCGATGCGGGCCGCTTTGACAATCGATCGGTTTGAATTAATATTTATGCGCGGAAGATGCGTATATACGATCGTTGATGAATATCAATGTCAGGCGCGCGAGAAAATGCGATGCATTACATGGCGCATAATGCAGGGTACGTTACGAAACGCGCGTCGTCTTTTAGCTCGCGGGAAATAATGATGTAAATTATACCGCATATGAATATAATAATAAAATACGTGTGTCTGTGTTCGTCGGGGCAGTGGCGGCACTGATAATAATATTATGCACTCTTAATACAATATTCATATCTTGGTAAAAGAGAGAGAGAGAGAGAGAAAGCGATGAATATTACACGAGCGACGTACTTTGATCATAATAATAATAATTATTATGATTATTTACACTCTCTAATGAGACTATGCCCAAGATAGATGTATACACACAATTAAAAATATTCCACGTAATAAGGCAATAAAAATGCACGTGTAAGTGTATACGTCTGTGTGTGTGTTT